GTCCGAGCCTGCAGTGGGTGAGCAGATGGGCAGGGACCAGCTGGCCGCTCAGGACATGCACTCCGGGTGCCTCCCCGCCCCCCTCCCTGGGTGCCTGCTTTTTCAGATTGTTCTGAAGCTGGGGGTGGGCACGCGGGGGTGGGCCCCCCAGAGCCCTGCAGAAGGCGCCTGGCTCAGGTGGGGCCTGGCCGCCCTCCCCCGCCCCCGGCCTCCCCACTGCGCCTCACCTCCTGCTGCTGGGAGGAAGGTCACCGGATAAAATATACAACACCCAGTTAAATCAGAATTTCAGATATAAACACATTTTTTAGTGTAAGTAGCTCCCAAACATTACATGGGATATATTTGTACTAAAAATTAATCATTGTTTGTCTGCAATTCAAAGTTAACTGGGAGGGGCGCCTGGGCGGCTCAGTCGGTTAAGCGTATGACTGGATTCCAGCTCAGGTCATGATCTCAGGGTCGTGGGATGGAGCCCCGCGTCCGCCTCCATGCTGGGCGTAGAGCCTACTTAGGATTCTCTCCCTCCCACTGCCCCTCCCCCCCCACCCTCTCTCTCTCAAAACAAAAGTCAACTGGGCAACCCGTATTTTTATCCGCTACATCTGACGGCCCCACCCTGAGGCTTCTGCAAGCAGAGTAGATGTGCGCATTCTGCAGCCAGGGCACTGGAGGGGGGCCTGAGGCCCGAGCACGTCCCCTGCTTGTCTCTGACCCAATCCTGCCTCTGGGGACCCAGCGGGCAGAGGAGTCGGGCCCAGGCTGAGGCGGGGGCAGCGGACACAGAGCCACTTGTCTGGGAGAGGGCAGGGCCAGCACGGAGCTGACCAGGGACAGGGACTTGCTGAGGGAGCACCCGGGCACGGACACCCCTCCTGATGGTGCAGCCAGTTTAGAGTGTGAATTTAGAGAAGACCCTCCTTCAGCTGCTGCTTTGTCCTGGGGACTGGGAACAGGACAGAACGGACACCTGTGTCCAGCGCTGCTGTCCAGAATGGGCACATGGAAATCTTGGGTGGCCCCTGAGCTGAGGTGACACCAGGCAGGTGTGGGACTGGAAGGCAACTGGCCAGGGGTCCGGGGCCGCCTGCCCCGAAGGCCACTCTCTGGGGAGCCTGGCCCAGCTCCCCTCACACTGAGGGGAGCCCCTGTGGGCCTGACTTCCAGGCAGCATTGGGCTGGGCCCTGCTTCTTGATGGCAGTGGCCTGTTCAGGAGGTGAGGTGGGCTTGAAGGGGCTGCAGGAAGCCATGATGGGTGGACCCCCTGCTAGCCAGGCCCTGGTTTAGAGGCCTGAGCTCCCTGCAGCGCCCTGGAGGGCCCAGCATGGCTCAGCCTCCATTGCTGCCGACTGCCCTGCGTGTCCACACCGTGAGGGCCACAGCCCCGCACACTCACCTGCTGGGTGACCCCGGTCCCACCTGTCCCAGCCTTGGCTCAGGTCACTGCACTTAACGATTTCATGTGGGCTAGGCCTCCCCTGTCCACCCCTCCTGGGGCAGGCACGTGCCAAGCATCACCGGAAGCCACGGTCTGGCGGAAAGCAGACAGGGACCAGCACACAGCGAGGTGAGGGCTGCCGGGCTGGCTTCTGAGAGCCCGAGAGGGGCCTGGCGGGCACGAGACAGCTAGCTAGACACAGGTCAAGCAGGGGCGTCCCAGTGGTGGGCGCTGCAGGGCCAAGGCTGGTGGGTCTGTGGTCTGAAGAGACAGTGGAGGACAGTACCCAGAAGTGGGTCCTACTGGGTCGAGGAGGCTTGATCCAGAGCCCGGGACCAGTGGGGACTTCAGGAGGGAAGAGGGCATGTGGAGGGAAGGGGATGATCGGGGAGGGCAGCTGAAGAGATGGGCGCAGGGAGAGTGGCCTCAGGGGCTCTAGCCAGCCCACGGGTGGACGAGAGTGCCCTGCACAGAGCAGGTGTGCCCAGGACAGACTGCACTGTGACTGGGTGGGGATGGGTGATGGAGGTGCCCTCCAGGTCCCTGAGCTGAGGAGGGGACCCCCAGGTCCTGACAGCCTGGCCTGCCAAGACAGAGGTGTTCCCAAGGTAGCTGGAACATTCCACAGCTGCACACCTCCAGGGTCTGAGTCCCTTTCCTGGGGGCGGGGTCTCGTCCCTACTTTCTGCTGCCTGAATGAATGCACCATTCCCCCACCCCCACCCCACCCCCGCACACACCAGATCTTTGTCAAGGAAAAGCTTTGCCCTTAAAAAAAAAAAAAAAAAAGTAAATAGCAAAAAGCAGAACCAAATTTTCCAGAGGCCTGGAGGATTTAAAAGACAATACATCTGAACACTCTGTACAGTTTAATTAAACAATTTTAATGCCAATTTCCAAATTGTCCTATGCTTCAAATCACTTGAACATTCCTTTCTAGCAATGTGAATGTATTACTGTTCCATGGTTTTTAATATCATTTTCTCCTATCAACATAAGATCTGCTTTTCATTTTCCCTCTGGGGCGAGGCTGTCCCCACGTGGAGCAGACCCCCTCCAGCTGAAGGAACTCGGGTCTCCACTGCATTACCGTGAGCCCGATGGGGGCCCAGTGCAAGCCCATGGCCGGTCGGGTCAGCCCCACTGGACGCCGCGGGTGCAGAGTCGGTGAGCACCAGCCCAGGGGGACACAGAGCCTGGGAGGACAATTCTGGCAGGTCCTCAGCTTGATCAGGTGGAGCAGAAGATAGTCGGAGATGGAAAATGTCCCTCCAGGTGTCTGTGCAGCCCCACTGGTGGTAAATGGGCCATGGGATTTCTAAAGGCTATAGGCTCTGTCAGGATATAGACGTTGTCTTTAAAAAATAATGTCTATTTTAAAAATCCAAAGCCCTGTTCCTTCTGCAGACATCTGGAGGATGGAGTGTGACAGAAGAGTGTGACAGTCGGTCTCATTTAGAATGACAGGCAGCTTCCTCCCTGTGCCACGGGATCCTGCCCTCCTGTCCCCCTGGCACCACACCTCATGGCTGGCACACCACACAGGCACCCCAGGCCCTCTCTGGGTCTCCCCACTCCTCAGCTCTCTCCTGTGTGCCACAGGGCCTTTGCACAAGCTGCTCTCACTGCTGGGAATAGCCCTCTGCTCTTCTGGCTGCTTTCTTGTTCTCAATATGTCTGCGGCTCCCCGTCTTTCTCGACTCTCCATGGCACTTACCACAGTTTGTAAATGTTTTCATCCTGCATCCAAGGATGCGTTACTGGCTGCCTCCTTCCTGGATTGAAGCTCCAGGGAACAAGGACAGGGCCTGCACTGGTCCCTGTTGCTGCATCCCCAGTTCCACCCAGGACCTGGCACACTGCTGACCTCCCATCAGTTTTTGTCCAGCAAATCACTAACAGCCTCCAGCTAAAACCAATCTTGAGCTTCACCCTAAATTTAATGAGTGTGTAGAAGATCAGGGACCTGCTTCAGCTTCAGTGTCTGTCCCCTCCTTGCAAGCTCCCCTGCAGGGTCCCAGAGCCTCCTCCTCCGTAGCTAGGGCCCTAATTGCTGTTTGAGGACCTTAATTACTGGCTGGGGCCCTCCAATGTTAAGTAGTAGCATTAAAATAGAGTAAATGTTTTCCTTTTCTTGAAAAGTTCACATATACAAGAAAAGGTGCTGCTCAGCGGGGAGCAGCCTGTGCAGGGCACCGCCTGAGACCCGCCCCAGAGCTGCTGTGGACACGCCTTCCTGTCCCTTGGTCCACCCCTTTGCCAGGGCACAGCTGCCTCCTGGGGGCTCCCCTTCTCCCGGAACAGCACCCTCCCTGCCCAGCTACACTCTGCCACCCTGCAGGTGGGGAAGCTCAGGCTGGCAGGAGCCTAATCGGAGCCTTGCCAGGTGGGCCCTCATTCCATGCCACACCAGCCGCTGGTGAGGCCCAACCAAGGCTCCTGGACCTGCCTGTGAGGACCAGCTGCCTGCTCTTTGTCCAGAGGAGGTGGTTCTCTCCCCGCTGAGAGTGGGCTTGGAAAGAGGGAGGGAGCCGCCCCTCCAGGGCTGCCTGGGGTGTGGGGAAACTGCTCCCAGAGCAAGTCCCACGTTGACCGGTGGTCCTGGAGAAACTAGGAGCCTCCACAGGGACCGAGGCGGGGCACTGGGGTGGGGAGGAGTCAGGAGCCGGCCCGCCCCTTCCCTGCTGACACCTGGAGGGCGGGTCCCTCTGTGGGCATGGTGGGGGCGGCCTGATCCGGTCCGGGCTCTGAGGTACCGACGGCCCCTGCGGGCGGAGTGGTGGACACCTGGAACACAGAAGCTCCAGTGACCCATTCTGCATGAGCTCAGTGTCAGCGGGGGGCTTGCCGGAGGGCCTGGCCCCTTCCCCAGGTCCTCACAGGTTTGCACCCGGGAGGGCCGGGCACGGGACAAGTTCGCAGAAACTGCCTCATGTATGCGTGTGCGCGCGCGCGCTTGTGCTGGGGGAGATGCGGATGCAGGCGCACCCAGAATCCCACCCACGGACACAGCGGCACATCACACGGGCACGGTCACACCCAAAACACACACGCGGAGGGGGAGGGGCACGCAGCCTCGCAGTCACGGCCGCGGCCGCCCGCGGCCGCCCACGCCCGCCCGGCCCCGCCCCCTCGGCGACCCCGGCCCGAGTCGCCCGGGGTGTAGGGGCGGTGCGCGGCGGCGGCGGCGGCGGCGGCGGCGGCGAGGGGGAGGGGAGAGCCCGCCTCCGCGGCTCGGGCCGCCCCGCAGCTGGGGGCGGGGAGCACGTTGGCGCCGCTCCCCGCCCCCCCGCCGAGCCTCTCCGCGCGCGCCCCCTGGTGCCCCGCGCGCCCGGAGAGGGGGATGGGGGCGCTGTGGGGGTCCAGCTCCGCCCCACCCCCGATCCTGGGAACTGGCGGGCGCCCCCCGCGATGGGGGAGGGTCACCCGCGCGCGTGCCGCGGGGCGGGGGCGGCCCCTCCCTCTCGGCGCCCCTGCGGCCCCGCCCCCGCGCCGGCCCCGCCCCCACCCTCCGCGGCTCACTCCGAAGTTTCCTGCGCCGCGCGCGGACACGCTCTGGGCTTGCTCGCCGCCCCGCGCCCCCGCCCCGCGCCCCCCGGCCCCGCGCCCCGCGCCCCCGGCTTGTCCGCCCAGCGGTACCCCTCCGCGGCGGGGCCGCCGCCGTCGCCGCCGGGCCAGCCGGAGCGGGAGCCGACCCGGCGGGCCGGGGCCGGGGGCTCGGGGCCGGGGGCGGCGCGTTCCAGCCGGGGCTGGGTGCCGTGCCGGGTCCGCGGTGACCGCGCCGCCCGGGCGATGCCCGCGGGGACGCCGCCGACCGCCGGAGCGAGGTGAGACACGGCGGGGACGCGCGCCCCACTCGCGGCGGGACCCTCTTCAACTTAGCGGGGCCGGAGAGGGGGCTCCTGGGGCCCCCGCCCCGGCAGTGGGGGAGGGGCGGCCCAGCCCTCGCCGGAGGGAGGGGGCGGGCGGGGGCGGGGGCGGGGGGCGCATTTGTCTCTAATAAGGGAAGACAAAGACATCCCGGCGACCGCGGCTGTTCCCGTAGCTCCGCTGTGCCCGAGGCGGGCGAGGGGTGTCGTTCCCGGGTCCCGGTCACCGCCTGTCACCCCGCAGGTGCTACCCGCTGCCACCATGACCGAGGGCGCGCAGGCGGCCGACGAGGTCCGAGTGCCCCTGGGCGCTCCGGCCCTGGGCCCGGAGGCGGCGGCGGTAGGGCCGGCCCCGGGGAGCCCCGGGGTGCCGGGGCGGGAGGCGGAGCCGGGGTCCGGGCCCGGCGCATCGCCCCCCGAGAGCCCGGCGGCCGAGCGCAGCGCGGAGCTGGGCGCCGACGAGGAGCAGCCCGTCCCGTACCCGGCGCTGGCGGCCACGGTCTTCTTCTGCCTCGGGCAGACCACGCGGCCGCGCAGCTGGTGTCTCCGGCTGGTCTGTAACCCATATCCTTCCAGGGCCGCCGGGCTACGGCCATGCGAGACATGAAGGTCCAGCGCGCGGATCTCCTCCGCGTGGCCCCCGCGAGATCGGACTCGTTGGACCCGGAGCGGACTGGGCGCGCGTGGAGCGCAGGGCAGGGGAGTGACGGCAACGGGGGCATCGCTCCATACCCGATCGGAGCGTCTCCAGTCCCGAGCTAGCGCGGGATGGGAGAGGGTGGCAGAGAAGCGGCGAGGCTACCACGAGCTTGGAGGGAAAGACGGGTCGGCAGGGCGGGAAGTCGGAACTCCCTGTGCCCCTTGGGTGGCGGTCAGGACCGGAGTGCTGTCCCCTGGGCTAACAGAATGTCCGCCAGAGACGGGACCCTCGTTGGGGAGGGGGAGGCTGGAAGGAAGTAGAGTAAGGGGAGCAAAGTTTTCAGCCTGTGCTTTGCGGTTCAGAGCGTCGCGGGAGACCCGTGGGGCCGGGAGGCGGTGCGAGTTTGTCGGCCCTTTTCCACGGAGACGTGCCGTGACGTTGGTTGTGAACTCGCCTCTCCAGGCTGAACTCGGTGCTGGGGCTGATTTAAGTCATGCGCAGCTGGGGATAGGGGGCAGGGACGCAGCTGGCTCTGCGCTCTGAGTCCCTTCCCCTAGGGCTTTTCCTGGCCTTGGAGGATGGGGCCCCCTCTCTGCTTCTGGGCACAGTGGCACAAACTTTCAGAGAAGGTTCCAGAGTGGTGTTGGGTCGGCCAGGGGGCACTTTGGGATGCAGGCGGCAGGTTTGGTGGCCCCCCCAGCAGATGGTGTTTGGGGGCTGTCCCGGTGGGCTCCGGTTGGCACTGGGTCCTGCCCTGCTGGTTTTTCTCTCTGGTGATGGGAACCGGTTTTCAGGCGGCCGGGCTGTGGGTGCTGAGCCTTCCAGCTCTTTGCCATGGGGGGATTGGACATTCTGGACAGATGGGGGCAGCCAGGTGGGGGGGTGTGGCCGCGTGGAGGGAGTTGACCGAAGTGGGGATCTGCAAGTAAACTTTATTTGTCAAAATCAAGACAGAGGCTAAACCAGCAATGTGTGTATATATTTTTCCTACTTTGTGTGTTTAACTATATAAATATTAAATGTAAAACAGGAATCTGTACCCAGAAAAAGTAATAAAATCCATGCTGCTTTTATCCCCAAATCCAAACATCGGCTGAGTCCGGTTCACCTCCTGGTTGTGAAGAAGGGGGTCATAGTCTTAGCCCAAGGGCCAGCTGGGGGCCTGGCAGTAGGCTGCCTCCGTCCTACATCCTCGGGGGGCATCCCCAGGTGTTGAGGCTTGGTTTGTCCTGTCTCTGGAACTCCGGCCTGCAGATGGCCCGGCCACCTCGTGTTGGCAGGAGGGTGGCGTGGCTGGGTGGTGTGGTGGGTGACGGGGCTGTATCTGTTTGAGGACCCTGGGCTGAGACGGGACTGGCGGCTGACTTTGTGCGTTCGGCATTTCCAAGCGTGTGCAGAGACCAGATAGGGAAAGAGCCGAGTGAGGCCTGCACTTTGTCTCTTTTGACAGCCCCCGTGTCTGTCTGTTCTGGGCCCTGGAGGCTGAGAGAGTCTTGCAGCCTGACCCAGGGGTGCTGGGTGCTCCGGCACTTCAGGCGGTTTGTGTCCCTGAGGACGCCCGACAGGCGTGTGTGTGTGTGTGTTACTCAGTGTAGGGTAGTGGGGCAGGGGTGCCTCACGCAGGTAGGGTGAAGCCCAAAGGGGCTTGGGGGATGGGGCCGGCAGGACTGTGTGCTGGCGTCCTTGTCTCTGTGCGTCCTCCTGACCCAAGGAGGAGGATGCACTGTGGCTCTGGGAGCAGGAGGGCCATCAGGCTGTAGGCGGAGGGCACTGGCAGGGGTTTGAGGGGCTCAGATACCAGGATCAGCTGACTCGTGTTCTGTGGAAATCCTGCATCTGTCAAGGAGGGGTGGGCACATCACGGCCTTCGGCCTCGTGGGGACGGCTGCTGACCTCTGGCAGACGCCAGGCCAGGGCTATGGGGGTGTGTGTTGGCTCTGGGGCAAACCTAAAATAAGCTGGCACGCCCGGACAGGTGGGGACTGGTTCCCCCCGGGGATCCTGTGGGCCTCAGCACAGCTTTCCAGAGCACTCCAGATTCCTGGGGGTCAGCAGGCTGGCCTCGGGCACACAGAGGGTGCTCCTGTGCCTTCCAGCTCCTTGGCTGCCCTGTCCTTCCATGAAGCCTCCCTTGTTGCAGGGGACAAAGAGAACGAAGTGGGATAATTGGGTTTGCTCTGGGAACCCACAGTCCCTGGAGGCTGGCAGAATCCCAGCTGAAGTCCTGGAGCCCGGCCCCACGCTGGGATTCATTCAGGGACTGGAATGCAGGAAGGGGCCTTCCCTAAGCCCCTGAGCTCTCGGGAACCCCCAGCGCATGACCCTGGCATGGACAATCATGTGTGGTCTACTTTGTCTTTAAGGGGGACCCCCGATGCCCAGCGGAGGAGCTTACAAGGGCAGATAGCGTCCTTATCGATTGACTTTGTTTTTTTGAAAATACAATCGTGGTGGAACTTTTGGGGCAAGCACTGTTTCTCCTACACAGGTTTATTTATAGAGGAAGGTGGGTGGGATCTGTGTGTTGTAGCCTGCGTGGCTGGGTTATGTTCTGCCCAGGCTCCCCCAGGGTTCCTGACTCCGCGCCTGCCTGCCATGCAGCTGCTGCGTCCTAGCACCCAGGCCGGGCGGGGCCTCCAGGGACGCTCACTGCTTGGGAAGGGGGGCCCCGGGGAGGCCGGCTGCAGCCCAGCAAGGGTGTTAAGGGACCAGGAGGTGGCCAAGGAGGCACTTGGGGGCTCAGGGGTGGCATGCACCTCTAGGAGTTGCCTCCCAGGGACCAGGTGCCCGGTGCGCCTCAGCGTAGGGCTTGGAGAAGCCAGAGGACACACCAAGGTCACGCAGCTGCCGGAGGGCAGAGCTGGGTGAGCCCAGTCGGACTCTCAGGCCCCTGCGTTGGGCAGGGGCGTGAGGCTGGATGAGTCCAAGCTTTTAAAGGCGTCTCATGAAAGCCGATGCTTCAAGCCATCCAGCCACCACCAGCACGCGGGGCTCACAGTGGGTGTGGGTGTCCTGGCGAGGACACTGGGGGCATTGACTTAGAACAGGGCTGGACCCTTCCTCCATCCTGCAGCCCACTCTGCCCCTGCAGACCGGAATTGAACAGGACAGTTACAAGTTGTCCTCACCTTCCTGACCTTGTGGCCATGATCCTCTGCGTATTTTGTCTGACTCACAGGGCTGGCTTCACGTGCTCAGGGGACCCAGGCCTGGGGGTGCTCCCCTTCCAAGCCCCTCCTTATCCCAGCACCTTGTTCCTGGACCCGGGCCCCTGTCCTCCTGGCACCCACATGTCTGTTTGCCTGGACTTGGAGTCCCCAGGCCGGCCCCTCAGGGGAGTCCTTGAGGGGTTCTCAGGAGGCACTGGGCGGGCCTGGGGTGGGCTGACGGGAAGGCCATCCCGTCCCTAGTAGAGTTAGAGGATGTGAAGGCAGAAGTGGTGTGCCCAGAGTGGGGGGGCCTCACCTCTGTGGGCTGGCCAGGGCATGGCATGTCTGCACGGGCCCCGGGCTCCCCACCTTGCAGGCCAGCCTCCCAGTGGCTCCCTGACTTTCTCTGATTGAAGAAGGAAGGAGGGACCGTGAGTGGTCTGTGTGTCTGGACTCCACTGCTGTTCCCTCACGTTCACACTGAGCCCTGACCGTGTGCCTGGCTGGGATGGGCCTGTTCCTGCTCCAGGCTGGCATGAGCAGAGACAGGGATATGGTCGTGGGGGCTCCACGGGGATGGGCCATTGCCCTGGAGAGCTGGGGAGGGCAGTGGAGCGAGGCAGGTCGCAGAGTACCTGCCAGAGGCAGGGTTGGGGGAGCCCTGTTCTTAGTGTGGCTGGAGGGCTTGGTGGGGGGGCCCTGGTTGTGGGCCTGGCCTCCTGTTGGCCCCTGAGTGAGAGCTGGTCTGCGAGGTGTGCTCTTCTGGGCTGCTAAGGAGGGCTTCCTGGAGGAAGTGAGGTTGGGCTGGGCTGTGTGGATGGATAGGCGCTGGTAGTAGAGAAGGAACAGGAAGGCTTTTATGGGTTTTGTAAGGGTTTCTGCTTCCCACGAGGAGGTAGAAAGCTTTGATCATTGGGGATCCTACTCTGATGAAAGGTCCAGATCTGTGGCAGCGTCAGCCTGCCAGGGGGGCAGGCAGTGGAAGGAGAATTAGCGTACGTTGAGGTTTGTCTGTTGGGAGGGACCTGGCTTTCCGCATTTCTGCTGCTTCCTCGGGACTGCCCAGGAAGGGTTGTGGCCAAGACCTTGTTTTCTCTGCGGCGGCCTAGACTTTCGGGCTTGCCCTGTGCCCCCACGCAGGCACCTGTGGGGCCTTGAGCTGGGCAAAC